TGTTTACCAAGGCAGACCAGAAGATCATGGTAAGCAGCTACAACCCCGCCCTGCGATTATATTCATCGCGAACTTACGGTTTTATGACAAATAGCGAATCATTTCGTTCATATTGAAGAAAGTAGACGAAACGGCAAGAAACCGGATCCGGGACGAGCTTGCTCAGCTCAACCCTCTTCTACAAAATCTAACATCACCCGGAGCTCTGGGGTACGATTTTGAAGACAGGTGACTTTGCTTGATCAGAGTAGCCTGACGTTTGTCTTTTGCGGCACCTCGCCCCTTAGCGACTCGGCCACGTTATCATTTTTATAATAATTGGGATTTTTGAACAACGCGGTTCCAGTGTGACGACGCCAAAGAATTCCCCGGTCCATGGGAGGGGACATTTAAACCAGTTGTACCGGTCCCTCCCTCGACGTGTCGGATCCCAGCACGTGGGTCCAGATTGGCATGAGAATAATCCTCTCAGCGGTGGTTGGCGATGTAGTCTGTGTGGCCGTACGGAGTGGTCTTGTGACGAACTCTAGACCGTGACGCGTGTGGTTATGAGCCCTCTCCAGAGTGCTAGAGCTCTCGAAACAGAATCACAGACACAACGGTCAGAAGCTCCCAATGAAATCGTGGGCTGTATTTAACAGAGCTGGGCCTCAATGGAACAGGTCTGCGTTTCCGGGCACATAATCGAGGTCCAGAGCAAAACGCACTTTACCCGTTTGCGGTGTCCTTGTTGCAACCACACTGAGGATCGGCGGATGTGTTGAAAGCAAACTCGTCGAGCTTTGAAGACAATTGCGGTGTCTGACTAGGGCTTAGTTAGACTGTAATGACATATTACACCTGAAGTTACTGTTCAGGCCCGTAGCTTAATTGGCAAAGCCAAGCTAACCTCCATTTGGAAAATACTTACGATGCAGGTTCAAATCCTGCCGGGTCTAATCTACTTTTTTTCAGATAATTTTTGTCCCTATCCCTGTCATATTGATGATGATACATACCATTATTCGATTAGTAGACAATAATAGACAATGCAGCTCAAGTATAAGACGCCAACCAAGGAACCTTCAAGCCAAGGAAGGGCCAGCCCGCCAATCAACAGTGCCGGGTCCCTACCCAAAAGTATTAGATTCCGCCGCGCGGTGATTCATAAATGAAACCCTACTCTCGGTGTTGGGGGTGAATAATAATCATGTTCTGGATTTGTCGCGGCAATGAGCGGCCATTTGCTTTGGTTGCTCAAATCCCCAAATCAAAAGCACAGTCGCAACAATGAGAGTAGATATGAGCTTGTTACGTTTTATTTGATAGAAATTACAGCGTCTTAGCTAAAGTGCAGCTGGTTCTCCCTTTACACTCATGGAACAATTGCGACCCCTAAACAGAACAACCTAAAATCCGACCCTTCCGGTGTTCCATCTGGACCAGTGTTTCAAAACCGAGGCAGCGGAAGTTTGAGAATAATTATGCAGACTTCACTCAACAGTTGTTTAGAAGAGCGTGATCTACATTGGGACTTAATTCATCGTCGGGCCCGTAGCTTAATTGGCAAAGCCGCTTTATCGTCTTTTTAAGACAATCACGCAACTTCATGCAGGTTCAAACCCTGCCGGGTCCACTGTTTCTTTTTAACGCTCTACACTTTGTTACCCTTCCATCCATGTTAGTGATGCGTGGTTTGCAAGCCCAAAAGTATCGTACCAATTGGTATAATCGTGAAATTGTACCCCAACTTGGGGTACAATTCACGGTAGGAAGCGAGCCTCCAGCTCATGGTCTCTTGGCCGATGTCTTGAGGTGGCATTCCTCCTCTCTTCAGCTGGATTCTTGATATCCTACCTTGGTTCCTTTTGCGAAGTTCACGGTAGAGGATTCTGACTGGCAGATACTTGTTTCGGCATGCTATCGTCCAGATGCTCGTGCGCTGAAGCCCATGAATTCAAGTCTTGCAATGCAATCGATCTTTTTCATAATTTGTAGCTTCATTTGAGAATGGTTGCAGTGACCTTGCATTCTAATGCTTCCATCATGCATATAAACTGGCAGGGGTCGATTATCAAGCGGCGACAAACACTAAAACACGTGCTCGACCGGCCACGGGTGCGGGGCAACCACCTCTCCTGCGTAGTATACACCGTCGCTCTTGCCTTTTCCTGGAACCTGATCAGAAGAGGTACGTAATGTGTGGATCGGGCATTCTGGTATGGTGACTGTTGATTCGACTCGTTGACGGTTTCCCCCTCACGTCCTCTCCACAAATGATCTAATCATACCGGAAGATCCCTCGAGTCGACATCCTATGTCAACATCAATGGATATGGAACCACCGCTTCAGCAACAGCCGCAGCCACAGCTCAGCTTTCTAGCCGAGGAGCTACCTGGAATCCTTGAGGTCTCTGACCGCCCTGAAATATCCGCTGGATACGCAGATATATATCGCGGTGTTTGGAGGAGACAAGATGGCACCGAAGTTGATGTTGCTGTCAAAGAGTTCAAGCAACTTGTCCCAAAGGATAAGCGGACCGGTCTGGACGCACTGAAGAGGAAGACAGACAGGGTCGGTATTTCGCCTTTTCTTTATATAACATGGGTCTATACTCATATCTGACGGACTACCTAAGCGCATGAAACGTGAAGTGGTTGTTTGGAGCCAGATAAATCACCCCAACCTTCACCCGCTCCTTGGCTATCGCTCGCAACCTCGGCCGCGACTCATAAGCCCTTGGTGCCGTCATGGCAATTTAAAGGACTACTTACAGGACAACCCTAGTCTCTCCCAGCTACAAAAACTTCGACTGGTACGTTCGCTTAGGATATTACCACTTTCTTCACGACAATCATTTACCACGCACTTAGGTCTATCAAGTAGCTTGCGGGCTTCATCATCTCCATGCACAAACCCCTCCAATCTGCCACGCCGATATCAAGCCCCAGAACGTGTTGATTAATGATATATTGGAAGCCGCACTGTCTGATTTTGGCTTGAGCCGGGTTCTACAGGACCTTGAGGAACCTGGCGAGTTCACAACTAGCGAAACGGTCAAAGGTACTCTGAACTATATGGCAGGGGAACTTTTCGCCGGAAGCAAGCCAAATCTCCAGACTGACATCTACGCGTTCGGTGGACTCATTCTAACCGTGAGTATGTGAAAGTGAGGTTAAAGGGCTGGAGAGTTCACTCCGTCTGGGTCATACTAGGTCATGAGCGGAACGGTGCCATTTTTCGGCCTTCATCAGGCTACTATCATCCTCCGTGTGATGCAAAACCAATCTCCGACGCCAGAGGATCACCTTGGCTTACCGTCTTCTGACCCTCTTTGGAATCTAATGCGCGGCTGCTGGCACAAGAATGCGGCTGCTCGGCCTACAATGCAGCAGGTCATGTGTAAGGTTAGCCTTGATGCGAGCTCGGTGGGTCACTCGCGTGCTAAATCGCAGACTTGGATAATCTAGCTAGTCGATTACCTTAACTGTGACCAATCCAATCCATGGCTGCCACTTGGTCCGCCGCCCGTTCTTGATGATGGCAGCAGCAAAATCTCAGACATGGACTTAGATGTAAGCGGCCTTTTCCCATTATATTCTATTTTTTTCGTTATCTAACTGCACTGATTTAGACTCCAGGCGCAACGCCGAAAGGGGGAATCTTGCCCTTACCACTTACCAATCCAGTCGTTCCGGACGGTCCAATGCACCCATTAGAGGCAGAGGAAGCATACGATTCAATCGCAGGGGTAGTTTCCACAGCGCGAAAAGTATTTAAGAGCCTGGATTTGCATTCCAAAATCATTCCAGGCATTGGGGGATATATTGCAGCCGCTGTGGACGTTGGGCTAACTCTGGTGGAGATGGTTGAACTTGGGTCAACGGAGTCTCCTGTCACCTTTCTACCACTGGAATCAGGTCTGCAGGCTAACTATATCGGAAAATGCGAGCCGCTGGCCAGCAGTCTGGTGTCCAGCATCGGGGAGCTTACCGTGCTCCTTGAACTCCTCCACAAGAAAGCCAGCTCCCCTCAAGATAGGGAGATATCCGCTTGTATTATGAAAATCCAGAGGTACTCAATGATTCCCCATACGCTGAATTGGTGCTAACCCGCTCACATCGTTCCTAGGGAGCTTCGATTCGTGCGAGAGAAGATAGAGCAGCAGTGCTCCTCAGGCTCGCTCTCGAATGCATTTTCCTCATCCCATCGCACAGATGCACTCAAGAGATGTAAAGGAATGGTTGGGAAACTTTTAGAAGAAATTAAAGTCAGTTAGAGTCTGTCGCTACGTCCTTCGGTCGCTAAAATTTGTCGATACCAGTTACTAATCAATGTGACCGCTGGAGATCTCGTCATTGAACTCGGTAAGTCCTTCCCCACGAGGTAGTGGATAACCTGACATGGGTAATCGCAGTGAATCCCGAGGTACGAGAACAACACCGTCGCCTTCTGGACCTACTGGGAGACGGGAAATATGGGGCGCAAGGCAATACAATTGGGGATGTCATCTGTTGGCCGGGAACCAGGGTGGAGATCTTGAAGCGGATAGACAATTGGATTAGGGACACGTCTACCCCAGACCGAGTGCTGTGGATCCGGGGCATGGCTGGGCGAGGGAAGTCAACCATTGTGTCAACAGTGGTTCACAGCTGGAAATATCGAGCCTGCTGCGCGACATTTCACTTTCGTCGCAGTCAGAACTCACTCAACACGTCCATCGTCTGTGTTCTTGCACGGCAGTTTGGAAGCAGCCTGGTTCCGGACATCAGAAACTCGATACTGAAGAGCATCGGAGAAAACGAGGACATCGCACACCAACGATTCGACGACCAGTTCAAAACGCTCTTGGCTGCTCCATTGGCAAATCTCAGCAACAGCAATCAAACCCACCCTATTCTCATTGCTGTTGACGCCCTCGACGAGTGCGACAATCCCCAAGACGCTGCCGCCTTGGTCAAGCTAATCGACGAGCACTCCGCCTCGTTCCCCACAAATGTCAAATTTCTCCTCACATGTCGACCTGAAGCCCCTCTTCTACGTATTCTTGAGCCCAGGAGGTGGCATGTGGAAGACTTAGACTCGGCGTCTGATGTGTCAGATGACATCGCCCGGTTCATTACACAAGCCTGCACCCAAATACGGGATGACCACAACCTCCCTGCACAATGGCCCTCATCCGAAGACGTCGCGCACCTTGCGAAGATGTCTGAAGGCCTATTTCAGTG